TAGAAAAATTGATTTCAAGTAAGTTAATAATAATCCGATCATATGAAACTAACAATCCTGGTTTTGGATAAATGTTGCTGGTGGTTTCACTTAACTTGAAATTTTTGCAGCAGTTACTTGTTTCAAAATTTCCCACATTCAAACGACAATTTCGCGCCCATCTAAGATGCCTCCCCCCTGCACAGCATGTGCAGTGGGCCCTTTCTTACACCACTGGGAGGATAGCTGTTTCACAGTCAGGTTACTTTACACGTCTGTGAGAAATAGTTTATAAAACTTTCCTGTGGAATTTTTCTGACAGATGTTCTTAAAAACCCTGTATTCCTTACTGGATTTAATAGAGATAGACACACCCAAATCAAGCAAGAGAGGAAAAAGCCTTGAGCTTACTCTTTGGCCTTAACACTACCACTGAAGGATCTCAACTATGTTCTGAACCAAAAATATTTGGTGTGGGTGCTTGTTTAGTTTTATTCAAACAATAAATACAGGGTGGGCCAAAAGTCAGTACCCATACGTTGGCCTTTATAGCTAAGTCACTGAGTACCCGATTGAAATAATTCTTTCTGGTATAACTTGGTACCAACCAAGGTTGGTCCAAAAAGTGAAAAACATGTCCAGTACTACGACTTCAGTAATGCCAACCTTAATAAATTCCTAACCCTACTGAACACTGACCTCTCAAAGCTCCACACTTCTCATGAATTCTCGGATTTTACTAAATTATTTGATCATGTACTTGATGCAACATGCAAACTTGTAAAGCCAAAAACTACTAAACGGAATCCTATCAATAACCCCTGGATAACAGATAGTATCTCAGCAGCCGTTGAAAAAAAAACATGAATTAAAAGATAACTGGATTGTACGTCTAAAACTAAGGCAAACCCTGATGGAGACCATGTTCTCGAACAAACCTTCAAGGTATACCGAAGGATCCTCAAATCTGTAATTAACTCTGCAAAAAATACTTACTCTTGCAACCAAATCATAGAAAATAAGCACGACCGTAAGAAGACATGGCAGATCATTAATGAACTTAGAGGGAAGTGTAAAAAGACTATAAAACCCTCATTTATAATCGACAACAGAAAAATAACAGATAGAAGGGTTATTGCAAACGAGTTCAACAAATACTTTAACTCAATTGCCTCCACTCTAAATGAATCAATAGCTGACCTGCTTATACAGGCTTCTGAATTTTCAACATTTGAAGACTACCTCCTGCCATCCAATAATAACTCTATATTCCTATCTGACTGTTCACATACTGAGCTCATGGAAATAATTTCCAAGTTGGAAAATGGTAAATCTAGTGATATCCCGATCCGTATAATCAAAAAGTCAGCTCATTTAATCTGCCCTGTTTTAGCCCAACATTTCAACAAACTCATGATGAGCGGGGTATTTCCTGATGTTTTGAAAGTTGGCAAAGTTACTCCCATATTTAAGAAAGGAAACCAAGAGGATGTAGGAAACTACAGACCTGTCTCTACACTGCCTATATTTGGTAAGATATTTGAAAAAGTGATATACAGCCGTATCTACAGTTTCGCTCTGTCACAAAATATCCTTGATGAAAACCAATTTGGCTTCCGCAAGTCCCATTCTACTAGCCATGCTGTTAACTAGTAACTACTCTGTTAGGATTATTGAAGAGAGCATAAAAAACGAAACCATGTTCTAGGAATATTTATAGATTTGAGTAAAGCATTTGATACAATCGACCATAGTACACTCCTAACAAAACTAGATAGGTATGGAATAAGAGGCAATGCAAACTGTCTTATTAAAAGCTACTTATCAAATAGAACACAGTACACAGAAGTCCTTAATAAAAAATCCGAAAACCTTATCAACTTGGAAATTATTTCCATGAGCTCAGTATGTGAACAGTCAGATAGGAATATAGAGTTATTATTGGATGGCAGGAGGTAGTCTTCAAATGTTGAAAATTCAGAAGCCTGTATAAGCAGGTCAGCTATTGATTCATTTAGAGTGGAGGCAATTGAGTTAAAGTATTTGTTGAACTCGTTTGCAATAACACTAATCTGTTGACAATTTGCTTACAATCTCTCGACATACCTCCAGATGTGAGAAATACCGTTAGGGTGAAGGTTGCCTTCTCCAAATTCAACACTTTCACTAAGTACTCATCAGTGGCATAACATTGCCTGTTGCCCCCCCCCCCCCCCCCCCCCCCTCCCTGAAAAATCGCGCCCCCTAAATTGGACAAATTAGATGATTTTAGAGGATCACCGGTAAGATTTCTAAAAAAGTGCGTTCCTAGGACAAAACGTGCAGTTTTGCTAGTATATTAATTTTTACGGAATAATATGCTTCAAACAGTATACAGATAATTTCAGCAATGGTAATTGTCTAGTAGCTATATTAGGATAGACACATATAAGGATAGACACTAGCTATAGACACCAGCTGACGACGATTAACACATGTTTATTGAAAGCTTCTACAAGTTAAACCATCGTATCCCTTATATGTTTATAACCCAACTCCATTTAGTACTACCTATAAGGATAGACAGCTGTAAGGATAGACACTAGCTAGTATCTTAGTTAAGTTTTTCCAAATAGTTGATAAGACCTACACTAAACAAGAAAAGAATGATTCTTTAAAGTAAGAACTTTAGTCAGAGAAGGATCCTGCTGGTCTTAAAAACGTTTTGTGGAGGTATAGGACCAGCCACCACTCTGGTCTATAAAGAATATTCAAACAATATACACATAATATAGCAATGACCCTATATAAAAATTCTGTAAAAATGGTACAAATTTAAAGACTGAGGTAAAAATAAAACCCTTTGTAATAATATATATAAAATCCACTAAATCACATCACAACAAAAAGCAGTTTAGACCCCCATCCAACAAGCACTCCATGACCTTTTAGGGTTTAAGAGTGTTGATCAGGTTAAGGTCCAAGTCACTTATTGCCGTGGGTGGAAGGGTTCTGGTACCTCTGTACCCCTGGTAGAGATTATACAGGTTCTGAGTAGATCAAAACGCAGTCTGCGTCTGACAAATAACATCACATCACAATACTGTTGGCCTTTCTTTAGGCTGATCTTTTCAGCAAGATGTTTTAGAAACTGCGAAGCCTCAGTTGCCATTCCTCCTGTAGTACTGAACACCAGTGGCGTGAAGGTAGCCTTTTCAACATTGAGGACTCTGTTATTGTACTCACGTTTTTTTGTTTTTCTCGTGAGATTTGTACATCTGTGAGATGCTTTTGTCACTGTTGGACTGGGCTTGAGGGTGAAGTACCCTTACATCTGTGAATGCCCTGTCCAGCGGCGACCAAAACGATCTCGCACTGATGTCCAGTCTTGCACCATCCTGTCTATTTGTTCCATTAAATAGTTCAAGTGTGTGAGGAACAGAGAGAAGCGCGATGCGTTGCTGGGCCGCGCCGCGCATTTAATAATGCTTATCGCAACTTGTATGTTTATAACCTACCAGGACGCGCGCCGAGTTGGATTCGTCGACGGTCCTAATATTTGGAACAAATATTTTACGAGTATTACCCGTTAAATCGCAACCACCTTCAATTAAATTCGACCACCTTTAATTTAATCTTTGTTAGATCGGCGATATGCGATACTGGATACTGGGCCTTTGCTCTATCCAGAGCCCTTGCGCTTGCAGTAGCGCGCGCCCGCCTCACGGCGGTAAAAAGACTTGTGAAACAAGCGCGCCCGCAGTGGCGCGAAAGCACATGGTTAGGTGAAACTGGGCCTGATCGCCGAGCTACGAAAAATTGACATCGTCAATTAACACAATTTTTAACAAAAGCATTTAATTGACGATGTCAATTCATCGCAGCTCGGCAAGGCCCAGTAGCGCATCTCGCCGATCTAGCGAGAAGCATAATTGAGTGCGCGGCGCGGCCCAGTAACGAATCGCGCTACAACAAAAGCATATGCTGAAACCCTAACGGCCTAACTCTAACGAGAAATTAGACCAACTAGAACTTCCTCGATAAACTCCTGATTGTCAAATGTGACAGATATGGATTATTAGGTAATGCATTGTATTTGTCATACGTTGTAGACCTGCCATGCCGCGCACGAGTGCGCGGCTACATCGTCAAATTCAATCGTGCATCGTGGCTTTCGCCACGATACTTAGTAAAACCACTATTGAAACGACGATGGGGGTCACGACGTGATACAACTACGAATAAGGGCACACCAGGTCCGTACATTTATAATGGACAAGTTCAAAGTTAACTGTCACCAAGATGTAAATCAGATCGAACGAGAAATTATATATATTAGATCGAACCAGTTCGATCTAGGAATTAGATCGAACGCTGGCGCGAGATACATATTCAAATACATTGAAAGCCGCGCCGCGCGTTCGATCTAATTCCTAGATCGAACTGGTTCGATCTAATTTCTCGTTCGATCTGATTTACATCTTGGTGACAGTAACACGTTATAGTTCACTTTTAAAATAATCATAATTATCCTGTATAAACAATAAACTGTTGCAGTAGTGAGTAGAAGATTCTGTACTCGCGTGGTGAGCATGGTTAAGTCATGGCCATGCTGTGTGCATCTTCGCCTTGTGTAACCTCATCACTCATAGTCATCACTCCAGTATAGTCATTGTAAAGAAGATCGAGAAAAAACGCATATTTTATACAAAAATTAACAAATTTATGATATTATCAATAGAAATTTACAATTGTAATCATAAAACTAGGAGTTATAGTATGATAAATCGGTGTCCAGAAATAAGATCAAATCGCAACAATTAACGTTATTTGTGATTAAAGCGTTAATAAATATAAACTTGGTTAAACTTCAAGTTCCGTATTATACGTTATAGTCGACGATGACTGTGTCGTAATTGATTATTGATTATATCAATCAAAAGTGGTAAAATTTTACTAATTACTGCTACATGATAAAATGGAGAGATGATGTATGATGAATTCTTGCAATATAATATCAAAAATAAACGATTTCCATTTTTCAAAGTATGTAAAAAAAACTACCTTGTCCTAAGGTAGAAATATTCTTCAGCTTTTCAAGATAACTTTTCATGGTAACTAAAGCGTTTTTCGCAGGATGACTAGTGACTAATGACTACATACTACAAAATTAAATTGCTATTACAATTCAATTCTCATTCGGTATAATAAAAAATTCAACCGTCAAATTTTCAGTTTTCGTCAATTATTATCACTAATCAATCAAAACAATTTCAAAGCGTTTTACTAATAATTACAAAACGGGTAATCTTCAATCCAACGTCTTAGACGAGCAGAGGCTTGCAGATCAAGGATCTAGTACTCCTTAGATCTCGTTCTCAATCTTCTGCTGTTTCTTTTTCTTGTTTTCATAGACAGCTCGGTAAGAGTTTCTCAGTATGGTAAATGGGAAGTTATTTTCCAACATGTCGTACGTTATGTAGTTAGAGTCCCTTACCTGTACCAAGATTGTTATGTTTGAACTTACATCAAATTAATAGTAACCGAATGTACATTGAATGTACATTGTACATGGTACAACGTGTTAAAAGCTACTGATATAAGAATTTGAACAGTAATTAACTTAATATCAAACCATTTTCTCAAGCAATATAAAGAGGGAATCCCTTTGCTTGATCTCCTTTTGTAACTCCTTGTCATCTTCCAGTTGTAGTTTGAGCATTCTCTCAGAAACTTTCTCAACAAACTCCCTCATTCTCTCCTTCAATATCACCTGTAACGGCTCCTTTTCTAATCCTGAGCGCACTGAAATAAACATATATGTTAGATTACCTGATTATGCTAACAGTGGACGGCTCACAAACGATTATCAGATACCGTATCGGACTTTATTCGAACGGACATTAATTGGACGCTAGAGGCCCAAGCATTCATTTTAATGTCCGTTCATTTCAAAACATTTTGAAACGAAAGAAGCATGGAATAGTACTGTTTCGTTTTGGATCTTGATCCCTTGATCGTCTAACCCTAATTATACAGTAAGATACCCACCTAAGTTAGTATAAACGCAAGAAGAAAGCCAGGTTACAGCAGTAGAAACACAATGCAGATTGTTCTCGTGTCCCTCAATAGGTGTCCGGTACACAGAGTTGATGTCCAGAGACTGTAGAGGGAGAGTGACAGCTACCATCACGTTAAATAGCATCCACAGAGTTTCAGAGGCAGGGTTAGCGCAGTGTTTCTAGGGAAGGAAGGGATAAGTACAGTGTTGTTTGGGGCGTGTAGGAATGCGTGTAGGAATGCTATGTTACAAATAATTAGAGGATTTTAAAATGGGTTATCCGAAGATGTCACATCGTGGATTCGTGGTTTGAGAGTGTGATCTATGAATTATGATCTGTAACTATGCTCATATAGTTTGATGATTTTTAGTTTCCTCAATTTCATCGAAATTATTAAAAGATTTAGAAAATAAAATTCTTTCAATAAGAAAGAGAGAAACTAAATTTCTAAAGATATGTGGTAAAACTGGCAATACCTGTATTGCAGCACAGAGTACCGGATCAGCATCAACCTCGAACCCAGCAGCAGATGCAATCTCATCTGGGATACTGGGATCCACGTCAGGGCGGATATTCGTCTTGAAGTCAAGAATACAGTTCTGTAAGGTAATATATAAGGTAAGGTATAACCAGTCAAAACAACAAAAGATATTGATGGTACACGTATTGTAGTTCGACACGTACTAAAGTTCAAAAATACCTTAAGTTCGACGCTTTCGAACTACGAGAATCGATATTCGATATTGATAAAACAAATAATATTACGATCAATTGCTGACGAAAGAGAAGAGCTAATTCTGACTCGAGTTGACTTCTATCTGCGTTGAGTTTACACTCATCTTCGAGAGTGATAATTAATTTAACATGAACTGGCATGCTTTACTTGATCATAATACTGACCTGTAATACTAATACTATTACTATTACCTGTAAGAATGGAGCTCGTTTAGCGACTACAGTCTTCAGCGCAGCAAGAGTAAGACGTCTGAAATTTAACAGGGCTCCCACCAAAATACAGCTAGCCATGAATTGGTCGTGCCTTTTCAATGACTTTGATAACTGAGAATATAAATACAGTTAATTAACTAAGCTTTCAGTAGGATAGATTTACTTTGTGATTACTTAATTCAGAAACGTCAGAGACACTTATTGATGTTGTAAATTAAAATTGATAGCTAAAAGTCCTCTACCAATAATCTCTGCTAGAAGCTATGAATACACTAACCGCGCCGGTCGGGAACTGATCCATGGTGCATGCTCGGAGTTGGATGAGCAGTTCCTTGTTCTCCTGAACAATGCTCAACATCTCGTGTACTTGTCGTTCACATCTCTCCATGAGCTGCTCTCCCATGTATTTTATACCGTACGGGCCTAACATCTTCGCTAGAGCCTGTTAGTAATATTGGTCTTTAGAATAAGGGGTAACTTTATCAAAACTTGATGAACAAGAACATTTTTAATGGGAAGATTTGAGTTTAACTTTGTTTCCAAAATGATAATACAATAATACACTATTTCGTGTGTAATTGTAGAAACCTGTAACTCCGCTATGTTTGTGTAAAGTTCCGCGTTGAAGTTAGGTGCCATCTGGTGTTTGCGCACGAAGCACTTGCGCAGCGGCGCAAAACACACCTCCCCACTCTTGATGTGTTCCTCTAGCTTGTCAAGATACCAAATTGTGTATTGACTTGCTAGTGTGGGTCCAGGAGAGTTCTCTTGTGGCTGAGGGGAAAAAGTCTTCAAATGTGGTGATTTAGATCTCCTGATTATTTTAATCGACTATAACGCTAAATTTAAGATTTAAAAAAGTTATAACAAACAATAAGAAGCCAGTATAAGACCTGTGTGTGTTGCAGGAGGCTGATGGTGAATATTCTAGAAGTATCGAGAGTAATGTAACTCTCTAACTGTCTGAAAACATCCATGATACCGACTAATCTGTGAGACATAATACTTGGGAGTTGGATCTGTTGTCCTCCTTCTTGGAATATGTGCTGCGGAGGAGAGGTCATTAGAAACATGTTCAATACAGTAGTGATGATACAACATAAATGATTATTTGTAACATCAAGAAGTTGCTGAAACTACTACTATGCCTACTACTACACAGTATACCTGCGAAATAAGTCGGTTGAAGAGTTCGTCCAGATAGTGTATGATGTATTCTCTTGGTGCGAAAGTGTGCTGCCATACCACCAGGTTAGGTAACGTGTTCAGTGCCTGTAGAGTGTAGAGAATGTAGATTATACAGGTTGTCAGGTTTGGAAACTTGGTAATTATTCTTAACATACTTTTAATCACAGGGGCCATCCGTAGGACAGGCTTCCACATCCTTTTTTTCTACTAACAAACAAATCTAATTTCTGCGTTCGATCTAATTACATCTTGGTGACAGTACACACTAGTACTGATGACTAGATAATCACTAAATCGCAGAGCAGGTTTTATTTCGTAAATTATGATCATTCATCATTTGCGTTTTACTTATTTGCGAATCGTGTCACCATTCTGAAATTTGCGTTTATTTTGTTATTGGAATAAGTGATTATAAAGCAATAAAATTAACCTACTCAGCTCATATGACGTGGTTTGCAAAGTCACTTTTAATGCTTAGATGTTAGGCCTGAGACAACTTTTCAGAATACACTGACAAACTTCTACTATACATAACTAACTTACATAACTAACTTACTGTACAGTAAGTAATCAGTATAACAGTAAGTAATCTTACTATATATAATATACGAAACCCCCCTAGTACCAAGAGAACATCGATGGTGCACTTTCTGCTTTTTTAGCAAGGGGCTTAAGCCTATTGAGGACGAAATTCATATTCTAACTGACTGTTTACTCTACTCCTCAGTTAAAGAAAAATTTAACTTCCATCCCAAAAATATTACTGACCTAGCCGGTTTGCTATCCGATAAAACACTAGACCCTACAAAATTTACTGCCACAGCAAGAGCAATCCATCCAATTCTCTCTGTGAACGAACATTTTACAGCCTACTATAAGAGCCCAGAAATCCACTCAAATACTGGCCAATGCATAATGCTATAGGACCTCAAAATAAGATCGAAATCTACAAATCCGATCTATTCATAGAAAAATAGTATTATAAAACATTTCTATTTTATCCCTACACATTTGTAAATAACTAGAATTGTGTAACCTTAAATTATTTCAGAATTATAACTATTGTGAATTCAATAAAATAATTATCACTTTTGTATCCTTGTATCCTTGTATCCTATAAAGCGAGACGATATATTATATGTATAATGTATATATGTGTGTGTAAAATCCGGATTGGAGTATTATTTATGAGTCGCATTGTTGTAATGTATTCTGGGTAAAATTATCTTTATCCCGGTTGTTGCGACAAGTAAAAATGCTCTTATTAGGGAAAGGAGATTACTCGACGTTTCAATGTAACTACATCGTATTCATGATCTAAAAACAAGTGTTAAAAATTCAAAACGTAAAAAACGTATATATGTGTTTATCCGTACCATTTTACTGACACCATGGCGTCAACTTTAAAGCGACTTTCCGCAAAAACCGTAAAAGATATTCAACTGAAACTTTTTTGACTGGGTCAAATGCTTTAATGGCTTCCGAATCAGCATGAAAAAATAAAAAATTGGCCAAGGAATAGGAATTTTATAGCCCAAAATTTTGACCCCTAAGTGGTGTCAAAATCGCGAATTAAATAGGTAATAATTATTTTAGTCTCTTGAGTTTGACACTCCTTATAGTGGTTATTGGAAAGAAGGGAGACACCTCATACTGCAGTAATAGTAGGGGTATAACTCTTAGGGCAACATCGTCTAAGGTTCTTCAAATGGTTCTTCTTAAGAGGCTGGATGTTGGAATGGAGTGTCTTCTTAGGGAAAACCAGTGTGGGTTCAGACGGAACCGCTCATGTATTGATCAGATTTATTCCATCCGCACCATTATTCATAACTGCATTGAATTTAAGGGGGCAGGGGGGTCTTCATGGAAATTTTCTCAAAATCGACTTTTTAGTTGTTTCTGATAGATGGGAGTGATATCTATCAGATGCTTTTAATCCGATAGAAAAATATTGCTCCTAGCAGAAATTATTATTTTCTATCGGATTAAAAGCATCTGATAGATATCACTCCCTTCTATCAGAAACAACTAAAAAGTCGATTTTGAGAAAATTTCCGTGAAGACCCCCCCCCCCTGCCCCCTTAACATTCCACTTTATGTTAATTTCATTGATTTTAAGGCAGCGTTTGATTCCATCAGAAGAGAGTTTATCTGGTCAAGCATGAGACACTATGGACTCCCTGAGAAATATGTTAGAATCTTTCAGGCATTTTTCAACGGAACCATGAGTGCTGTCAGGGTTAATGGGGAAATGTCTGATTGGTTCTCTGTCAATTCAGGCACTGGACAGGGTGATATCCAGGGCCCTCCTGTATTTAATTTTTGTCTGAACTTTGGAATCTTTTTGGCTGAGGTTCACAAGGCAATCAGTCATGGTGCTGTACTGCAAAAGGAACTAAGGGGTGCAGATGAAAAAGTTATCATGGATAGTGACTACGCTGATGATCTGGCAGTGATGGACAATACTGAAGAAGGGCTGCAAGAGTCCACTGATCTTATCGCTTATTACACCTCTTATGCTGGGTTAAAGATCAACGCTAAAAATACACAATGCATGGTGATCAGCAAGTGTGCGTCCCAGCGACCTTACACCGAAAGAGACAGTATAAAGCTAACAGTGGAGGGAGAACCTGTTGAACAGGTCAGCAACTTTGTTTATCTTGGTGCCAACATCAGTGGGGATGGTACCATTGACCGAGATCTTGACATCAGGATCCAGCGTGCTAATGGTGCGTTCCATCAGCTTTGGAGGATATGGAACAGTCGAACTATAAGAACGCCCACCAAGATCCGTATCTACAAGGCTGCTGTTATTACCATTCTGTTATATGGAGCTGAAGTCTGGAACACAACAAAGAAGCAGATGAAACGGTTTGAGGTCTTCCATCTGACCTCCCTGAGAAGAATTTTGAAGATAAAGTGGTTCTTCCATGTCTCCATTGAAGAAGTTTTCAGGCGTGCTGGAATTAAGTCTATCGAAACTTTCATCTCTGCAGCTAGAATAAGGTGGTACGGACATGTTGTCAGAATGCCAGAGACACGGTTCCCCAATTTCTTACTGGATTGGAAACCAAACTATGGAGAGAGACTGAGAGGACGACCCCGCAAAGGCTGGATGGCCTGTGTACTCGAGGATGCGGCTGAATTTACAGGTGTCGATAACATCAGCAGAGACGCAGTAAAACAGTTAGCTCTAAAGCGAGTGGAATGGAGGAACATGTTACGCCGTAGAAGAGATGTGTGTGATGCAGGCCACTCCAACGACTAGGAGGAGACCTCTTCATGTATCATGTATGTATCATGTATGAGTTTGACACCTGCATTTTAGGGTTATACAGGTTCCTGCTAGTCAGTATAACTGATGACAGCTCTCCTTTGTAATATTATACCACTTCTCATGTTTCAACTGAGCATGAGTTAATAACTTAGTCGAGTTCTCTACTTTCCTTTCCAGTTTGTTTTTCAGTGCGCCAAATTGAGGCGAGAGCTGATCACACCGCTTTAGGTACATATTTTATCGGTTTTTGACTACATACATGTTCAACAATATTCACATTCTGGCAAAAATGTTGTTATTCTCAGAACCCTTTGTTTTTTTTATGGTCCAGCCTGATTTTTTGTGAAACTTGGGGGGTCATGAGTATTTTTGAGAATTTTTGAATCTGAGAATTTTTTCTCAAAGTTTTTCGCCTCTCCAGGAAACTTTTCCCAAAAATACTCAAAAATAATTTTTGAGAATGAGAACTTGGCGAACTTGGCACTCTCAAAATACTCATGACTCCCCTCCCCCCCCCCCCCCCCCTCCCCTTAATACAATAGATTTAGGGGGGGGGTTCAGTTTCTTAATATACAACATAATCTTTCAACAGGCTTATGGTATGGGATCACAGCAAAGTGTTGTGGTGGCGAATGCCTTTCCTCAAGATGTATTCGTTAGAGCGAAGACGGAAAGGATTACGGTAGATCTGATTATAACCTTTTTTAAACCAATAAATGACCCAATGAAAATTATACGTTTTGATCAATGAGTTTCAATACTTTACTAATTTTGAAGACTCCACCATCATACATTTGTACCATTTCATCAAATTTCTTGCATGATTAAATTCATTAACTTGATTTAACTATTTTACAGGAACGCCAGGCTACAGTAAGCGTCTCAGCAGAGACTCAGTTGTCCAAATTTTTTGCTCTGCTAGGGAGTTTCAAAATTGAAGCAAAACGGAAAGATAATATCAAGTATCAAAAACTCATAGAAGAGGGTTTTTGCACGATGCCTAAGCAAGCGATAACATCTTTTAAACCACCTTCAAATCACACTGAAGTAGTTTTTATAACTGTACTTTACCACGACGAGGAAGGAAATGGGCGTTACATAGCTCATGATGTTCCGTGCTATGAAAAACAATCAGTGATTATCACAGCAACTGGGGGAATAGTGGATGCAGCGGACAGAAACTCGCCGTGGATAGATCGTACTGGTAAGAACCATGAACAAGATCCATGTCCAGTTTGTTCCAAAATTTCATCAGTTTGCTCATTTTGTTTGGTGGAAAGTAGACTGGTAGAAATAAAAAAGAGCATCGGAATCGTTCAAGAGTGCCAGCTGGCAAAACATTTAGTTCAAACGATAGAGAGAGTTAAACAGATTAAAGTGGCAGAAAGACAGCAAGAAGTAAGGGATATGATAAGAGATATTGAAGGTTTGGCTAAGATGTACTGGAAGCTTGAAGCACAAACTAAACGTGCAGTTGGCAACGTGAAAGTCTACGGGGTGGATTTAAAAGAAGCTGCAGATGATTACTTGAAGGATGGTATTCTTACTGATTTCTGGACAGAGTTGACGAACATGCATGAAGCAAAAACAAATCTCGAATCTGCCACTGAGCGTCATGAGGAAATTAAACGTGAAGCTTCATTGCTTCAAAAGAGAGCGGAGTCTAGAGGGAAAACATTTGGAGAAAAAGCTTCGGTAGCATCAGCCTACGCTAATGAAAACGATGGTACGTTAAAGTCCGTTATGTCCATTCCAGGTGTAGGACAAGTACTAGGCGGTCTTTATGGTGCTGTGGCAGGAGGAGTTACTGCATTGGAATGGTGCACAGAAACAAGCGCAGCAAATAATATTCCAGTTAAAATATTAGCTGGTGTGGCAGGAGCAGTTGCAGCAGGTTCTGCTACACTCATAGGTACAATCATTACCATACCTTTGGCACCTTATTTTTGGTACAAATCCATTTCTAGCGAGATTGATGCAAAAAATTATGGAATATTAAAGGAGGAGTTTGACAGCGTAGCACTTCAAATGGGACTGGTCGACGAGCATCTGGGAAAAATAACAACTTCTTTACTTGAAATTGAGCAGAATTTGGAGTTTTCTCAAAGAGCCGAAAGAAAAGTTATTGCGACACTAGATGAGAAAAAGAGAAAAGAAATGACTCGGAGGGTAATAGCAAGAGCAGAGGATCTGGTTCACGCCACTGATCAATACTTCCGCATAGTTAATACAAATCAACTTGACAAAGCCCTTGTAATATAGATGAATAGATGACAATTTCATTGGTTTCTTTTTCTTGATTTTTGCGTCATCTATTTATGAAATTTTATTGTCATCTATTCATGTAATTTTTTCGTACAAATTGAGATTATCTCAGAGCTTCACCTCAACTATATCTAAATATCATGTATCTTATATCCCTTCCTCAAACTATCTCACCTGTAAATGAGACACCATCTTAGCAAAGTTCTTTTCCATCTGTGTCATGTCCTCCAGTTTAGACTTCTTGCTCTCAGCGCCAGGTAGAGGGATAGGTAGAGCGGGCCGCTCTTTCTTAGCCTCTCTTTCTTTGTTATTCCTAGCTTCAGCCATGAGTTGTGCACCAAAGGAAGGGTGCGTGTTCATGTGCATCTCTATCCTCTCAAGACAGTATAGTTCCAGATATCTCTGAACAAAGAGGCAAATAAAATCTTTCATATTAGCTTTAACAAGATTTCTTGAACAGATCTATTACATTAGTGATTAGGGATAATCATTAATGTAATAGATCAAACGAGATCTGATTGATTGGTGTGAGACGTGAGTATTAAAAAGAGGATATGACAGTGTACCTGAGCCTCTCTAGCAGTCATATCTAGGAAATTGTTGGCCAGATCGATACTCTTCTTGCCGATGAAGCAGTGTTCCTCAGGGCAGTAATCGTTACAGGTATTGATGAAATGGGAGCAAACCCCCGCGTACACCACACTGTATGGTGCAGTGTCTGACCGCTCCAAGCATTTCTGGGGAGTAGTCAAGTGTTAGCGGAACTCACTAGAGATAGATATAGATAAGCTATAAAACCTATGATATAATTTCGACTGATTCCTGAGCCCACCATTTATTAATTTGCGAACCTACGCCAACTTTTGCAAGATATCCTCGAGCTATCTTTGTGATATGTAATTTAATGCTTCGCCCGCGCGCGACACATACATATATGCGGCGCGCGCGGCACGGACGATCGTACGTACGTGGCCTAAGCGCGAAAAGCACATTGCATACAAAAATGTTGCTGCGCCATACGACAAAAGATTTATAAACAAGGTATTCTGTGACAGAATAAGCCCCTAGAAGTTACACTTTACACACTGACAGATCTCATCACAAAACCTGGAATGAGTCCAGAATTATTTTCTGATAAAAGCACAAGTTGCTCAGATCCGTAACTTCTTTCAGCAGGATGTCCATGCTGTCCACACATCTTGAGTGGTATTCGATTGTATTCATACAGACCGCAAGACCCTCGTGTTGCTTTAGTTGCAGCTGACTTTGACTGACATTAGTGTACGCCTGTGTGCGGTGTCGTGTTACACAATAGGTTTATATAGTATACCATGTACATTTTACATATACACTGTACATGCAGCGAATAAATGCCAAAATCGTTTAAGATTACAGATTTGTTGAAATACAAAGTCGGACAACTATCACTGATCCACATTCCACATAGTGATTATGTAATCATATTACTTTGCAATTCCATCAAATCCAATTACACAAATGCTGACTGTAAGAAAAGTAGTTTAATTTCTGTAAATCAGAGCCCGGAATGGAATGAGCAAGGAAGGAAAGTTATTCAGTACCTGAAGACGCTGCCAGTCGATTCTGAGCGGTTTGAAATCCTCGTCAGCCTCAAGATTGGTAATGTCGAGTACCCCTAACTTATCAATAAAGGACGTGAGGAGCAAGCTTTCTTCTTCAGGAGCCGGGAAGTTTTGTATGATGTGTCGTAGTTCAATACAATCGCTTTGTTTCAGGTACTGCAGATAATTTCAATTACATTGGGTGACTCTTTATCAGCTGTAAAGAGAGCTATCTTTATAACCAATAATATTCGCACAACAAATATAACACATTAATAGATCATGTTTTAAAGTACAGCAAGCTATTCTGACCTGTAAGAAGTAACGTTTGATGATGGGGTGGTAATTCTTGATGAGTCTGGAGAGCGAATCAATGCCGTGAAGGAGTTGTGCTATAAGAGGGTCACTAAAGTTATCCGAAGATACTTTAACTTTGCATTTCTTCCAATCAAAGTCAAAGTTTCTTACTAGCCACAACACCTGAATAGAAGTAAAGTAGAGTTGTTTTAACTTTCATACTTTCAAAACTTAAGAAAAATGTGTTTACAATATCGTCCGACTTATTTCATCATAATAAGGGTCAATTATATTATATTGCATTTGGACACGAAGGGAAGTACACAATGTTAGGCTTGGATCCTTCGGTTAATTATATTCGAATACTATTTTCCACTTCGTATAATAAGATCAAGACCAGGGTAAAATTAAAGATTAAACAATGTATTTGAACCGAACATCAAGCCAACAAAACAACATTCACAGTGTACCTCTCCTGTAGCAGCGCTCATAGCGTCCAGCAAGAGAAGAAGTTTAGGGGCTATAAGACCAGGTGATGAGGTCACAATGTTTATCATCTCACTCAACATCAGTCTCAGATAGTTTCTCCGACCCTGGTGCTTGAGGGGGGTATTCTTGGCGAAGGAAATGGCTGCTTCCTGTACCATCTGAATCAGCTTCCGGTGTCCTTTGTAACGTTCAAATACCTGACAAGGTTACTGTTGCTAATACCTACTGAAAACATTCTTACCAGTCCGTAGGTAAATTACAGCAATTCAATAACATGTTTAATTATTTAATTGGAAGATCCTGCGTTGGAAATATAAGCAGATGCGTAATTTAGTGGGTGTACCAGTGGCATTGAAATGAGATATGATCCTGACGTGTCACACTTTATTAGGTGTAACACTTTATTAGGTGTCACACTTTATTAGGTGTCACACTTTATTAAGTGTCACACTTTATTAGGTGTCACACTTTATTAGGTGTCACACTTTATTAAAGTCAGGTAAAAATATCAAGAATGAAATATCAAGTTTACTCCCAACTAGACTTACCTCGATATACATATCGTGAATGTTGACCACCTCATCTCTAAACAAAGTAACTATATACGAGTCACTCAGAGCATTCTTCCAAGCCTTCTGATCACTGCTGTTCAGTTGAGAGGGACATACCAAATACCCTGCATATTTCAAATTAGGTTTGGATACGATTTTGTGCCAGGAAAAAAAGGAGGAACGCTTTCAAGTTTCACGTTTCATTTTAAATCAAACTCTTGATAATAAACATTCCCAAAGTATTGGTAACCAAATATAAATGAGGAATTTAATTTACCATAAAGAATCCATTCGTTGAGTTTATCTAGACTTATCATTTTACAACCTGGGTCAGGAGCTACCACTGGTTCTGCTGACAACCCGTTCTGAGGTAGTGCATAATTATAACGTGTAATCATGTTTAAATCAGGTCAAAATCATGTTAAAATCAAGTCAGCCATTTACAGTCTAGAGTGTACTATAGCTGCAGACACGACCTTACGACCTATGTTACTTCCTAGATAGCTAGATGTACAATAAGTATCATGTTTAATATAACATATCCATGCAATGCTTATATTGCCATATACATTTTGTACATACAATATATCATATAGTCGGCGCGGTGTACGTGTAAATGTAATTGATAGCAGTTAACTAAAGTTATTGATCACAATTGGATGAATCCAAAAATGTACGTTTGCGCGTGTTTTTAAATAGAAAGTGTATTGAATTACTAACCTGTGAAATGAGTTTGTAAACACTGTGGTCCCTCATCTCGTTGATATGAAGATTCTTCTCATTGTGAAGATTGTGTAGAGACTTGAGCGCCAGACCCACACGCAGGGAGAGAGGCAGAATCTCGTCCACCAGCTTTTTAAGTGGTGTGTCACAGCTCTCGATCAGGTTTCCTAACCGGTGAATATCTCGGCTTGGGTCGGCTTCCCCTAAAAACAGGCGTTGTGTGACTGCTGTGAGACAATTCCATTTCAACCACTGACTCATCATGGTCAATGGTTATAGATGATTTAAAGACAATTTTTGGCAAAACTTAAATTTTGTTTCCGACCGATTTATACATCTAGATCGGGTTGATCAATTTTGGAGACCATAAAATCATGTGTTATAGTATAACAGTTATCTCCTGAACTAGTGCTTGTCCAGGCTCAGTTACTCAGAGTAAAACCTTCCAGCTAAGTGTGCAGCAAATTCATGGTCACATGGTCACATGGTCACGTGGGTACATGTTCATGTTGTCACGTGGTGTTCCACGTCAGTGGTTGAGTAGTTCCTGATTCCTGTCTCTTGATATCATCCTATAGAAACTCGAAAGTGGTGATTCTGCCTTGTTAATTCTTCTTCTCGTCACTCTACTCAATACAGTATTTTAGGTAACTGTTACCGTGAACCAACTGAGAAATAACATCCAGTCTAGTGTAACCTCAGACTCACTTCACCCTAGTTATAATTTCATTTGCCAACTTCGCAACATGAAGGTGCTTCTCTTCCTATTCTGTATGATCATGATAGCAAGTAAGTTCGATAACTTTTTCAAACCCAATTAAACCTTTGCAGCTGTAAAATTAAGTAAGCAGAGTATATCGGATTTAATAATGATAACATAATTATAGTATAATTGAAATGGATTGTTAATGTTATCTGATCACCTTAAACTCTCTGTCAAGGTACAGGAATAACTAAAACAGAGTTTACGATATGGAAGACACAGTATGAGCGCTCCAACGAGGGGTTACTGATGGTGAGTATTAACGGCGCAGATCGTCAGAACGTGTGTCGCCGTGCTGCGAATTCCTATTACTATCCAGACTCTTCTACGGCGCTCCTGATCTGCAAAAAACTACACTTTCACCGACTTAACAGTGTAGGTAACACGGAAAGCAGCTATCCATTTCGTGGCTACTATTCCACAGCTCTGCACTATTTGAGAGGTTGTAATCCTACTTGTGTTTACACTTCCTCCCCTGAATGCCAACATTCCAACTACTTACCCAAATCTCTTGTGGATGCTCCGAAAACTTCAACACAACTGTTGACGGCTGCATTCGTCCACTGTGTCCAGCATACAGTTATAGAGCTGCTAACTCTGTGAACTGCACCCAGTGTCCCAACGGATCTACCTCCACTCCTGGTGCAGATCACTGCGTTTGTTTTGCAGGGCTGTACACTGTACAAGTAAAGGAAGGTACAGCCTGTAGAGAGTGTGAAGGGAACACTTACAGTGTCCGGAACAGCCCTTCTTGTGAAGATTGTCCTGAAAACAGCACGGTCTCACTCGACCACTCTGCTTGTGAGTGTCAGGGCAACTATCTCTGGAACCCAGCCGGCAACAACTGCACTAAGACAGAGGAACACAACCCAGAGGAACAAAACCCAGAGGAACAAAACCCAGAGGAACTTCCTAGCAAGGCCACTGAGAACATTGCCTGCAAACAAACGCTAGCACCGCAAACAACAGACAAAAAGAAAGGAGTTGAAAACCCCCATCCCGTCACGACAACCCTCCTGATCGCAAACTTAGTTACAGTTCTGGGATTAGCAAGCCTCGCTCTGATCATGATCCTGACAAATCGGAAAAAGGCAAAAGAATGTGGAAGGGTTGCAATGGCAACACTGCAAGATCAAGATCTCCTGCCAATACCCCCTCTTCAACCAACATCTTGCAGTGTGAACGAGGAACACATCTATGCCACGACCGAATAAGATTGAGCACATGATTAAATATTTGTTCCTGCAACGACTGTAGAATGCAGATCCTTCTCAAAACACGCACATTATTTGATGTATACATGACTAAACATTAGATTTCCAATCTTGGTACAAATATACTACATAGTTAAATAGATGATTATATATTTGTACGTGTGCCCTCAACTGTGATTGATCATTGAAGTATTCATTTTTTTTAATGTGGTGTGTTTTGAATTTAGCGAAAGTTTAAATTACATTACATATAATTTTTAAAGCTGGACCTATTAGACCAACCACAATATAGCTGTTCACAAAAGAAGAGAAACTGATTTGATACTTAAATTCAGTTGATTTATATAATTCAAGTTATCTTACCGCAAGATTGATCGTAGATAATGTTGTATATCCCTATAATTGCTTTCACATTCTCATGTTTTCCCAACAATATTATCATCTTAACATACCTGAAAATATGGATTTAAAAAAACTTTATTTACATATTCGAGCTTTTTATTTAGAATTGAAACAAATCCTTCATTTGGAATACATTTTTCACATTGAAATTTAAAATTACATAAACCACTAACCGACAGAGGATGTCAAGGAAGTTTGCAGTAAGAGAGAAGTTGATACGAATGTCAAATGACATCGCCTCCACACTAATATTAGTAAGCAGTTCCATAACATACTCCTTCAGCTCCAGGATATCAACAAACGTGTTGTAGTGAACCTGAGGAGGGTCGCTAATGTATCTGAACGCTTCTGTTCAAATATTTAAATATGATCTGTTCAAATATTTAAATATGATCTCTAACGAAATATTTTTCACATCTTGACGTTGTAAAAGAAGAAATATTAACTCCCGCAATACAACAAATCATAATCAACAGATTTTAGACATGATAACGAGAATTGAGCTACAACTTACCTGCAAGTGTTGTCTCATATCGTTCTTTATGGAGTTGCTTAAGTTCATGCTTTGGATAGAGGACTGGGCTTTGTCTAGTTTTGGAAACTTGTTGGTGATAGTTTTCACAACATTGTCAAATGTCTTATCAGTGAGGCATGGTGGTCTGGTCCTTTCCTCTCCACAGCTCTGATAAAAATTGATTTTACTTTTAATCAAATCTATTCGCAGTGCAGCTATAGTTTAGAAGTAATATCAGCAGTTAGCATTATGTTTGTATCAGCAAATATCATCAGTAATCATCATCCTAGAATCACCTGTTTGCTGTAGTGCAGTCGAGTAAGTAAGCCCTGTGCTCGTTCATTAAGAATGATCAACTTTTCAGCAAGCTTCTGCTGTGAAGGTGGCTTTGGTCTGTTATCTATATTCATTCCGTTTTAATTTAGTTACTTGCAGCAGTTTTTCATCATCACTTGAAACCTATGTTATTGACAAAGGTATTAATTAGTAAAAGTAGGAAACAAAATTTGTTAGAGACTTAATTGAGAATACAACTTGAAAGTCAAAACAGAAAATTTTACAGTTTTACCATATTTAAAGGGTGATTGTAACATTTTTTCGATTAGAAAGTGGCCCCTAGAGTGCACAACCTTAATGCCCAATGGGGTGCAGTTTCAGGTTTTTTGCTCTTTGAAGCCATAAACGACCGTAACAGAAACTAGTTTGCCCAGGTCATTTTCAGTTGAAATAAGTAGAGGCATGCCCATGGTCAAAGCATAGTTCCCTTTTGCTAGAAGGTGTATCACTTAATTACGAAAAGAGGATGTAATTCTTTTTTTAATTCCTCAGTTAGTTTTCTGCTCTATCCTTGCCATTGAGCAACGATTGGGGTTAAGAAGGTGACATGCCTGATTTAAGCTACAATTGATTGAAAATCAGATTTCTGGTCTCCCAATGATTGACTTATCTCTAATATCCCTTCTCTTGTGTGCCAAGTTACAATAAAGAAATTCTGAATTGTACCTGGACGGTGCAGCACAGCACATTAATTGTCTGATTATGTTTGCAGCATTGGATGGACTATTTCCTCATATTTAGATTGGTTTACGAGTATAAGTACTATATATGCATTTTTAAATTTGGTGTGTTTAAAATGGACACAAATGTGTGCTTAATGTATAGCAAGGGCCCATTTGAAACTTTCCGATGCTAAATTCTGCAAAAGTTTTAAAGCTAAGAAGATCATAGGCGAGGATGGCAATGATTATAATTAATAAATGATAACTGCAAATAAGAAACTGTATAATTGGTTCTTCCTGAAAAGTTCATCACAGAATCACTGCGTATTACTGTTGACAACAGAAATCACAATTTATTGAAAATATTCCTGACTGAATAGTTTTCTGATTTCACTAATTTCGCAAAGCTGTTCATTGTTCATTACATGCAGTGTCATTAAATGAGATAAAGGGTTGGTATACTAAATTTGACAAATTTAAAAAACAAAAAGGGGACCCTATTCTATGTAGCTGAGACACCTCACAGCAAGTAGTCAAAAGTGACTCTTGCTTGTGAACGATGCATCAACTACCCGCCGAAGCAGTGGGTTTGGAGTCCCCCTGGGATCTTTTCGTCCATAAAATCGTATACAATATAAAATAGTACAGTAAAATATCTACAAAATTTACACAAACAGATCTAGGAAACCTCATAGCTCGTCTTCTGAGGGATGAGGTTGAAGGAAACGTTTGATCTTCCTCTGATTCCCCTCAGTGCAATGAATAATAATAATAATTCTATACTGTTACATAATTTAAAAATTATGGCCCCTTATTGTGGGCAGAGTATGTGTCTTTATTTAAGTGTCCTGATTTAAATAAAGACACATACTACTTTTAAACTCACACTTCTCATTTTAAACTCACACTTCTCATTTTAAACACACACTTCTCATTTTAAACTCACTTCTCATTTTAAACTCACACTTCTCATTTTAAACTTTCATTTCGCCACCTTTTCTTAAGCTCTCTTATCTTTTTTAGATTACACCCTTATTTCAAGTTTTTATAACGGTTTTTTCAATCATGTACTATAATGCTTATCTAAGATAATTGTTATCCGTTAAAGTTGTGACCTTTTACCCGTTTTTCTAGAACCTTCCTAACGTCTATGCTATTCATAGTTTAACACGTACATTTTATTTACCACGTGATAAGTTTTTACCGGCTACACTTTAGCTGTGCCCATATTATCGGTTATGTCGAGTATCTTAGGGTACTTTTCTGGTTCTCCGCCACAGCAATCGGATAATAAAAGGACTTTATCTGATGTAAGTGCTAGTAGTTCGCCCTCTGACAAGGATGCTCCAAAACGTCCGAACTTAAACATCTCAGGCTCTCCTATCAAGACCGAAGAGCAGTCCATAGTTAAGCTAATAGAAACCCTGTTTAATAACTTTTCTAATTCGACTGTTTCCAGACTTGATGCCATCTCTGTTAAATTAGAAAGCTTCGATTCTAGATTAGATATTATCTCGTCAAAACTCGATACGTATGATTCCCGAATGTCTAGTATTGAGGAGAGAGCGGGGTCACAACAGCTCGAACTCACTGATTTATCAGACCGTGTCATTTCCTTGGAAGACCTGAATATTGAGCTCGAGGCGAAACTAGATACACTCTCAGGGTCAAACTCACTAAACATAGAGTCAGGATGGGAGCCAGTAGGTTCTCCTGAGACCAAAATTGCCTTACTCGGTGATTCTAATTCGGGGGGGAAAATTAAATTCGGACAGGGAAAGGGAACTCTAGGGGCCGCCTTACCGGGATCTGATACCTTTGTAGCTACGGTCGAGAATTTACCAGAGCCAGTTACATATAATGGTATATCTGATCTTATTTTAGCAGTAGGCACTAACAACTTAAAGTTAGATGCTTGTGTCCCGGAAGATTTGGCTAAATCTACTTTCTCCTACATAAAGAAAGTCAGGAAAGCACTTCCTTCATGTCATGTCTTTTGTCCCGGGGTTCTCCCATCTACCTCCCCCACAATCAACACCAGAATCACAAAATATAACTTTTATTTGAACGATATGTGCCAAAATTTGCCGAATGCATCATACGTAGATATGAAAACATTCCAAAGCAACAACGGCAAGCTGCTACCGAAATTTTCAGTCGGAAACTCGGACTCTTTTCATCTAAACAAAGCTGGTTTGAAGGTTTATTTTAGCCGGTTAAAATTTGCCCTAAGGGCCAGACATGGCCTCCCAAATATCAAACGGGTCCAACGTAGGTCAAGTAATTCTCCGACAACCTCTTAAAACCGGTTGTAACTCTTATATCACCCAGTTATTTACTAATCGTTTATATTGGTATTTTTTATTTATAGGGCGTTTTCTCTGTAATTATCAAGTTATAGCTTACGAAGTTCGAGGGACCCCTTCATTTTTAAAACTTTGAACAACTGCTTTACTGCTTAGTAATTGTACAGCGTGTGCCTATTCTTCAGGTGGTGGTTCATTGGTTCCGTGGTGTAGGAGCTATTTAGGGCTTATTATCAATTTATCATTCGCTATCAAGCGTGCGTATCTCAAATTATATTATTGTGACCGCCAGCTTTATGTTATTGTATCCGTCAGCTCGATACCATTGACCTTCATATTGCTATATTTGCTCCATTCAGTCGCTTGTCCAGTTTAGGGAACCTTTTATTCATAATTTAATCCCCTCTCTTATTACACCTGTATATTACCGACTTCGAGAGAACCAGTTCTAAATTCTGGTTACTGTATGGATGTCTGATCCAATATTAATTTATTGCTGCAGATCCTTCTCCACGTGAGTCACATCTTTATACCACCTTTACCTTGTTAAATATGGTTATATGTACTATTACCAGGGTCCTTTTGGCTCGTCCTGATTTTTAGTACAGTAAAGTTATTCATTAAATATAAAAGTTTAAAAAAATTATATACAGGCTATGCCAACTAAAAACCACAAAAAAATTCTGTTCGGTGTATAGCTTTAACCTCTCCACACTATATTGAGGCCATTTTTATTTTGTTCTAGATTTTATGATCTTCTACCTGTTACATTTTCGGGTACACTGTCACAACTTCTCCTTGCGACGCGTTCACTCATGTTTCCTAGGTACAGTGTGTTTTTCACCTTGCTACCTCGTCACCTCAATAATTGGTATTACTATTATTCCGATAATAAATGTTATAATAAGGGCGGGGCTAGTGTAGGTTGTAGTACAAACATGCCGTATCACTGTAGAGTCTATTTCTCTACGATCGTTTTCCGTGTTTCTATGTTGTGTGTGCATGTTTTTTGTGTTATTGCCATTGTATATTCTCACGTTTTCACAACACCATCACCTTCATTTCTGGGGTTTAATTTAGGGGGTCTTAAGAACTACACCAAGGAAGGATGGGGCATTTTTCAGATTAACAATGACTCCGCAAAATAACAGCAATAGTGGGTTGGCATGCCCAAAAATCGGTTCTTTCAACTGCAATGGTATGGGAAACCCGATTAAACGTAATCTTGTCTTAAACTGGTTAAAAAATAAACCTGAGAAAATTATTTGTCTTCAAGAAACACACTCAACTCCTCAAGTTGAGAGAGAGTGGACAAATTCTTGGGACGGGGAGATAATCTTTAACCATGGTACTTCAAACTCAACCGGTATTGCCCTACTTGTTAAACCTGATGCTTCGAATCTCACTATTATTAACCATCGTAGCATCAGCCAAGGTCGCGCGACCCTTGTAGAAATAGAGTACGACTCTCTCAAATTGTGTTTGGTGAATGTATACTGCCCAAATAATGACGATGTGTCATTTCTTGAAAACATATTTTTAGAAACTCTCAGTCGTTCACGAGATGATCAAATAATTTTTGTTGGAGACTGGAATACAGTTCTGAACAACATGTTGGATAAGCAGGGGGGGTCCGCCACCCATGCAAATAGTCGCTGCCAGAAATTCATTAATGATTGCATTAGCGACTATGGGTTTAGTGATATTTTCCGTCTTAACAGAGGTGCTGAGGCACGGGTTTTTACTCATTTTAACAAAAAGTACAAAACTCAGTCTAGATTAGATTTTTTCTTGATTCAAGATAGCCTAGTCAATCGACCTGTATGTGATACAGAAATAAGTCATGGCTATAAATCTGATCACAGCTACATCTCGCTATCCCTCCAGGGCTCTACTATTGCACACGGAAAAGGATATTGGAAAATTAACAACTCTCATCTCCTGGATCAAAATTTTATTAACGAAATAAATAAAATCATTGACAATACTAAAGAGGATAGCTTCGATTCTTACGGGGGTCTTTGGGACGTTATAAAAATCAAAATAAAACAGTTCGCAATGACTTTTGGTAAAAAGAAAAAAAAAGAAATCACAGTAAAAAAAGAAAAGTTAAAAAAAGATATTGAAGATTGTAAAAAAGATTCGAACCTAACAA